TTAAATTAAACTCTCTCGAAATGTAACCTATGGGATAAATTTTCTCTAATTAAAATATTAATAAATTGTAAAAATAAATGGAAATTTAAATTTAATTATTAAATAAATGAATGAAATAATTAAGAGTTACAATTGAATTTCATTTGCACATTATCTGTATATGCAGGCAAGAAGCTAAGCATAACCTTTTTTTTTTTTTTTGCCCCCTAATTAAGAAATCTTTAAGAACTAAAATTGATTTAAAGTATATCTAAAATTTTGTCTTTATCTAATTCATAAATAGATTTCATTTCAGCTTTAAAGGTTCCTCTTACAATTAGATCAATACAAAATTATACTTGCTCGCATTAGAAAAAACAAGGATATTAATGTTGAAAATATATATCTTGACTTTTTCGCCTTTTAAATTTTTAATTTTGATTTTGGGATGAGTTGGGGAGAAATTTGGAAAATGATGTTTAATGGATTTCTTGAAAGATGAAAACCATGGTGGGGTTTTGGAATGTCTGCTAATAGGATTGATACTTTCTTTTTTTGTTTTTTTGTTTTAAATTTTTTAGTAAAGCTTGTTTAAGTGTAAGGATTAGTTTTATTTAAAATTTGAAAAGTATATGCCCTACTATGATTTAACTATTTCCTTTGATTGGCATGATCAGATTTTTAAACGAGTAGTAGCGAAAGCATTAACAAAGGATTAATTTGCTTATATCCCAAAATTAAGGGCTTGTAAGGATAAAAATAGTTTAGGGGGTTTATGTGCGAAAATGGGTTAGTTTGGCGGCTTATGTCGTAGTTTGTGAATGCAATACTTTAGTTTTTATTTATTTTTTATCTTTTTATTATCCAATAATACAAAAAATATTAATTCAAAAATATATAACATTAACATTTCCAAGCTGGACAGTGAAAAAATTAAAAGGAAGGTTTGAAACCAAAAATTTGAAACTAATGATATAATATAAATTGTATTATTAAATAAGTTAATATATACGATATTATGTATAAATCCTAATAAAATAAAAAAATTAATTATTAAATAATACAAAATTTATGTATTAATATTTTAAATGATGTAATTTAAATTTTAATCTTATTTATCATTATTCTAAAACTAATTGTCTTCGTTAAGGTAGCACAAGAGAAATCAATATCATTTCATTTTTACTTTAAAAATAAGTTCATTAGTCTTTCTCCAAAAAAATTTATTTAAACAAGGTAATTTTTAGACTTTTTTTCTAATTTTTAAAAATTCCAATTGAGAAATACTTTTCCTAACAGATTATATATATATATATATTTAAAATATAGAAAACTAAAAACCATAGTACTCTC